ATCGTCTCTGATCTGCTGTATGGTTTCACGTATGCACGTATGCCATCGTTTGATGCAATCCTCAATTTATTCACGAGGGGCACCCAGCAGGATGGTTACCAGCTCACAACCAGGCTCAGTGAGCTACTTTAAATACCAAATCGCTCTAGAGAAATCTCTTCCTCTGAGTAGTGACCAGCTGATGTGTGTGGGTGACTGCAGAAAATTTGGTAACCCTATCGATGAGCGAATCTCACTGCACCCATCTACTGCTCCATTATTGCTCTGCGGGTCAGGGCTGCTTAGATGAATTACTAGCTGATGAGAATTATTTTGGCTGTCCTCCCAAATTGAATATGATCCAAGGAAACCCTCCCCATTAGCTCGTCTCAATAATCATCGTCATCATTATCTTCATTTGCCATTGTATGTTGCTTCACCTTTCTTCCTCGTTTGGTTTGGCTGGCCGAGGGCAGAGCCACCGATGAAGATCCACTTTTCAGTACAGCAGCATTCCGATGCAGAAACAGCCACGGTAAAACTTGGTGTTCCACTCCACCGGAGAAACAGGTTTCAATGAAAGAGTATGACACAAAAATCAATAAACTCCACCAAATCTTCTCCTCGGCTTTTTTTCGCGTACAACTGTACCACTCAGACTTATCTCTTGTTTCGGGCCTAATTTGCACCGTCTTCGAGCTCATCCAAATCACTGGTTTAAATGTCAAAACACCACTTTCTCTAGCACAAATCACCTTGGACTAGCTGCGAAATGTGAGCTTGAAATTATAGACGATGAAAATGAAAACACTTCTTCACCTATTTTCTAGCTCATCCCGTATCACATCACAGCACCACCTTCCCCACGTTCGCTCTCTTTCTCTCTTACGTTCGGTCCACACAGAAATCGCGAGTTCAATGTAACAGAATAGAGGCAAAATAATCACTGCATTTGAATGTAATCACGCACTCCGACCAAGAGGCTGCACCACTTTTAATCGAAATTTTACTTCCTTTCTCTTCGTCCGTCGTCTTCGCATACACACCGAGCTACTTGTCACGAACTGCGCGTGTTGTTTTCTGTGATCGGATCCATATTATTGAAACTAATAATTGACAGTCGAAAAAAGAAGCTCGCACGCCTCTCTCTTTTCAGGTTTTGCACTACACTACACCACACTACACCAACACATTGAGGGTTTAGTGGATGAATAAAAAAAATACAGATACTGCCACCAGCAGCCGGAGTGAATAAACAACACAAAAAACAACAACCAGCAGCGATGATATTTGATGCTTCTCGAATCGTGCGGTGTTGTTTTGATCTATCTGCTGGCTTGCTGGATGTCCATCCGTCCTCCTATACCTAGGTATGGGGAGAGCAAAAGATGAGCTTGCGGGTTTGCTCTCGCTCGCGAAATCAGATCCCCCGCTGTATGACGGCGTGTGTGTGTGTTTGTAAATTTGCACACCTTATACCTCGGGTGTATTTGTGCAGCGAGCTGTCAGACGAACGTCAGAGCCTGTTGTTTGTCCTACGGTCTGTTTACAGATTTCCACTGTTGCGGAACGTGAGTGTTATACGCCGGATTGTGAGAGAGAAATAAGCTGCGATGAGAGAGGCAAACTGTTCTACGATGATGATGGAAGTATGTTTTTTCCCTCGCCCAAGAACAGTGTTGCAAGAATCGCGGGGTCTGTGAAAATGGTTGGTGAATGATGATTTATTTGCATTGTATGTGCTCTAGAAGGATTGCTTGACTTTGGTTCCCAACATTTGTTTTTGATGTTGCAAGTCTATTGCCTAGCATATAGGGTTTGAAACCATCACACTCAAGAAAGTCCACACGTCTGATCGAAAAACACTTGATTTTTCCTCGCAATCTTCCTTCCTGACCAATGGCATTTGAAATCACGAAGAGCAACCAGCAACCAACATCTAAACAGTCATCCGAAGTTTTTCCTTCGAAAAAGCATCACCTGCCGTGGTAGAATTGCCATGGTCAATGTTGGAAGAATCTCCCAACTAAAATTTTTCACAATTTAAACGCTTTGCTCATTTTAAAGCTGTATTCAAATGCTATACGATATGAGGTAACCTTTACTCAACTTCTATACCAGCAAATATGGTGAACTTAGTCAGCTACTTATGGCTGTTGGGACGGTTGGGACAAGCTCTTATTGCACTTCCATTTTCGCTTCTAAACAGATTTTATCCAGTTGTTAATGTTCAAGTCCCTAGTGTCTTATGGTCATGTTCAATCATCTGCTCTGGAGGGAACATTGGTGTTTCTGGCACGTGAAATAGAGAACAAAAATCATGCATGTTTTAACATAGGTACGCACATGATATTTTTACAATAACAAAATAATGATTCTTATCTGAATATCATAATTAATTCTATGTGAGTAATAATATAGACTTCATGTGACTCGTAAGGTTCAAGTGATTTTGGGGAGCAATTTCCAATTATGGGGTCACATGAAAGTCATATGAAATACACATTGATATTTTCCACTGGTTATGTGATTTATTTTATGATTCGTAAAAAAATATTCATGTTATATGTCTAATAACACTTGGACTCTTGAATGATTGGGTATTCAAGTTGGGTTGCTAGTTGCTAGTTGAGTGTTATTATATTCCTCCTTAGTGGAATGGTCTGTAATGAGTAAATTTGATTAATTTGTTTCAAAACCAGCGTGATTCTATTCGAACTTTTAGTAAAACGCTGTCCAGACTGGAGAGTTATAACATGTTATAACGGTTGTCAAATAATTGCAACACAGAAACCACCATCAAGATAGCGCTATAACATGTTATACTCTGATACGGGTGAATTTGTACCACAGAAACCTACTCAACTTGACACAGGAGCTGCAAAGTTGTTTTCGGAGATTCTCAACCAAACAGCAGATGCCCCAGCATCTACATCCAGAGAAAATTCAGTGCAAATGAATGATTTCCTATCAACATCAGCTCTAATCAGCGATGCTTCTACTGCTTCTATGCTGGATTCTTCCGTGATGACCAACCATGGTACACTTGACGCAACTCCGTTGCTGGATAATTCACAGAACCTTTCCAAGTCTACAGTCGCTGAACCAACCGCAAACCTTTTGTCAGGATCGTTGCCTGGTAGATTGCAGAGCTTGGAAAAACAGATGAGACAGGCAATAGTCACTCTTTCTCATGTTAATGCAAAGCTTAATGTTATTGTTGAGAAGGAAGACCAACGTAATATTAGCATGGAAAACCAGTTGAATCAGGTAATGTTTATGCTTCTCAAGCCAATGCTAAACCGTCAGGGATGTTACTGAGCTTCAAGAGGCAGAGATGCATGTACGAAATATTTGTTAAAAACGTGATCAACTCATTGTCAAAAATCCATGGAAAGCACCGTTTTACGGGAAACGGTCAAACTGTGTGCTTGCAGCTAATTGATTACTTCGTGGATCGTAGATTTCTACGTGAAGTGTCATGGACAGGGGTTAGCAAAGATGCAAATGAAATGATTGCATTTTCGAAATATGACAGATTTATCGATCTGTTTATTTTTCAAGTTGTTTTCCACGCTGATGAAATGTTTACTTTGGAGGCTTACCACAAATTTTTCAAACACTGTATTCGAAATTCGAAGCAAAGACTTGAAGAAATCAAACATCTACGTATGCCAGTGGCCAGGAATCGGCATGTCAAAAATGCAAACGACTTGCTTGAGAATGACCGAGAGTTTAGTGAAGATTCCCAATGCGATCCAAATCAACTTAATGAGGACCAAAGACGAGCTCAATAAATGGAAGTGGAGTTCCTAGACGAGGAGTCTTCCTTCAAGGAAGAACCTTATGGAGAATCTTCTCGCATTTAGTTTTGTTGCTAAATGCATATTCGACCTGGTCCGATGATTTTTCTTTTAATAATTTGTTATGAATTCATTTACTTTGAAAAATAAACAATGTGGATATGAGCTTCTATTTTAACTATTACATACATTCTATAGATGGAAAAGTATGATGAAGAGGTAGAAAAACGACTTCATTGTTAACAACTATAACAACTAATTTGCATAGAATTTGCTCTAAAGGATACATCTTCTGGTTTTTGCAGGTAATGTCTGATGAATAAAAAACAAGAATATTCATTGATGGTATGGGATTTATGAACAGATTATCAAATCGTAATAGCTCTGATCCATTGATTCAAAATTGGATCTGGATAATTCATTGAGATAATCGTTTTGTCATTCATTAAAAACCATTTATCCGGAAACGAATTTTTCAATGTGAAGCTTCTCGATAATTGTATGATGGAATACTTGTTATTGTCCTCTTTAAATGGATTTGTCAAGGAAGGATAAGGTACTGTTTTGTCTTTCAGATTTGAATTATAACTACTTTCCTCAGATAAACGATTAATGATTTGTGATAATGGTAATCGCCCTGTCCTAACAAGCTTCTTAATTTGCTGTAAATGGTTTTCAAATGGGTAGGATGAAATCGAAGGTAGAGCACCAAACTTTTGAACCTCATCTACAACATGAGCTAAATTATGGATATTACTGGTGACTGAATTAAATTGTCTGTTGTAGTTAGTGATGAAATCCTTGAATAAAATTTTAGCTACTGGTAGGTAACAATGGAAATAGCTACTAGAGAAAAATTTTACCGCGCAGAAAAGATTTGAAATATTTATGAAATTACTTTCTTTAAGAAATTGTTTCAGAAAGATGATACCTATGTAGTTTAAAAACGAAGCACATTCTGAAGCCTGCCAGTGGTTTACAGTTACTGCTACGTACAGAACGATGAATTTCTAGTGGTAAACGAATTGTGTCCAGTTGTTCTGAAATGGATTTGATGTCATCTTTCCATCATTTAGCTGCGTCCAGACCGTTGTGACCATCTTGGTATTCAAGAAGTAGTTTCTTCATAACTCCAAGATGAAGTAGATGAAGCGAGTCAGATACTATGACATCTTCAACTATATCTATCGGTAGCTTTAGCAGTGGAGTAACGACTGGTTACTTGAATAACTTTCCATTTTCCCGAATCTTGTAGTGTTGATAATGTCCTTCATACATCCATTCTTGAAAGCCAGAATCAGTTCTACGAATTGCTGAAGTGTTGGGAAATATGTTAGTTCGTAATAAAGTTCAACGATGACCAACTGTGCAGCACTTAAAACAGCCGTGTGATGAGCTGAAATTCACTACCCCTACCATAAATGAGAAAGTGTTATTAAAATAATGTTTTTAAGTGTTTGCAAATAATACCTTTTATAAACGCTCGAGCAGGTGAATCACAAATAAATGTTCGAATTTTTACAAGCATCTCAAACCCGATAATTACCAATCCATTCTCTAAAATTGGAAGGATTTCACTCGCACACGGCTCTAGAAATTGTTCGATTTTCTTCGGTTTCGAGCGGTCATGGAATCAATTTCTGGCATACTATGGATATTGAACAAAATTGGCCACACTTGATCTGTACCATTAATGAACAAGGGTAGTCCATCAATGTTGATGTTGATCAAAACTGAACATGATTCGTTCAAATTGGCGAAGCACCGTCTAAGGCAAATTTCTGAAAGGCATAGTATAGGATTACATTTTTAACGATTAAAAAACCAAAATCTTAATCATCCTACCAATCCCTTGATGCCAGTATTGGCCTCCTTCTATAGATGATATAGGTTTCTTATTCCGTGACGTTGATAATAGACGACGTGGATCCGTAGGTAATTTTGAATCCAGTTCATTTAATCTCTGCAACAAAGGTTATTATGCTCAATACCCCCCAGCTCCGCAAAAATGTTTGGAGATCACCGGTCTTTTTTTCCTCCTCAGATTTTTCAAAGTCCATACGTGGTACAATATAAAGCTGATTCAATGATTCGTCACTAGAACTCTCAGAATCTGAACTTATCATGGACACATCTTCAAAATAATTGCTTTTGCTGGGTTCCGGATGAGATGTGGGTGATTCTTCATTTGACGATATATCGGACTGATCTTGAATGGATTCTGGAAACTCAAACACTGGACCAGGGACGTTTACAGTGGAATTGAAATCTTTCTCAATCGGTTGGTTTGCTGCTTGGAATTGTCTGATAACCACTGTATTACGTATTTTTTAACTTTTCTTCTAAAATTACCACTTTTCGGCAGCATTTGCCATTTCTTCCTACAATCCATTTTGAAGCTTCAATAGCTATAGTTTCTAAAAATATATTCAAAATAAAAGATGCAGTGCAGCTTTTCAATCAAGCATTTTATTGAGCTCAAGGGCAACTGTTAAGAGTAAAGATGCATTAGCAAACTTAATACAGGAAAACATTAATTTGTAGCATCAAATGGCGATATAAAGCGTATTAAGATGTTCTTTTGCAACAATGCTTCAAAGCCTTTGCAATGTCAATTTAATGTATTTGGCATTTAACATGTAGATTTATAAAAGTTTACATTAATCTTGCTTATATACAGATGTTAATGTGCAATGTTATAATGCTTGTGGTTACTTGGGATATCCAGTTTATCATATTTGGCTATTCCAATTTTTCCAAATTTTCTTTTACAGTTCGGAAAAGCATTTGTTGCTTTTCCTATTTGTTGATCAATATGTTTATTCTAGCAGAGATTACTTTCTAAAGTTACTCCTAAAAGCTTAGCTTCTAATGATATTGACAACTTGAAGCCACCTTTTTTTCTTTTTTTTTTCTTAAAACGTGTTCATTGATTCCATTTAATGTTTGTTACAAGCACTTGTTTGTTTTTTGTTAGTTTCATTACATATATACATCGATTATCATTTGCTATTTACATTACATTCAATAATAAATTTAAACTCACTGATATTAACTTCCTCTCTGTTATTATTAAACATGTAGTTTAGGTACTCTAAAAATAATGACACAGCTATCCTCTTCTCCAACTTGCTAAATGATCTCAAAACTGGAAACTTGAAATCTTCAAACCTTATGTTCCTGAATTTTCGTCTATTGAACAGTTTTATTTGTGTTACAGTATACCACCAAAAATTTCTTGACTTTGAGCAATCAGCAAACTTGTGCTTCAAATCCTCAATCTCCTGAGGACAGTAAGCACAGTTTGGTGACGTAAGACGACCAAAACGAAACTGTTTTTCAGCGCATATGATTTTCTCATTCACCAGGAGAAACCATATAACTTGATGGTTGAATGATATTTTTCTGTCGAAAATGTTCTTCCAAATAATATCCCGATCGAAGTGTGCTCTGCTTCTGTGTGGACGCGAAAAATTTCCGAGTGTCAAATTTACGGTTTTATTTTTTCTTGGCGTTTTCTAATTTTAGTGCAAGAAAGAGAAAGTGATTGGTTGGAAATGCATTCGAAAGTGTTTTCGTTTATCATAATCCTTTTCATCAGAACTTTTATTAGGCGATTGGCAATCTGGCCAGATGACTCTGATTGGAGGCAGGTGCAAGAGCTTCTTTGAAGATTCGACGGAATGTTGTGAAATGTTAAGCTAGAATTAGGAGATGCAACAGTCTTTCAAGTATTGGCTTCACGTGCAAACCATCGTTCATTTGGTGAGTTCGTTCCTGTATATTTTTTTCACTTGTTTCGATACCATCTATCAGTTTTCTACAATTTTGTCTTGGACATCTTTTCGAAGAGCCACGTTCATACTGTAATTTATCGAGCGCACAATTTTCACATGTTGAGATCGAGTGGGAACGTCAAGATAGTCATCCAAGTGCTTTTGTTTCTGGTTTTAGACGTTTGATGTCTTCAGTTATGTTTTTGTACTTTAAAGTTCCCTTTGTCTGTGATCATGCTGGGTCTGAAGAGTTTTTGTTGAGCACGCTGAGGCTGAAATTGCATACCCCCTCCCCATGGACATGGAGGTTGACGATACTGAAGCAAAGGGTTATATTTAATTTCTTTATATTTGCAACGATGATGATTTCCTATAGTGACACATATCACCTTCTTAATGCTTCAGTATGCCTCAAACGATTAATTCTTGGTTGTTAATAGAACTTCCTTGATGAAATCGGCTGCTTCATGCAGACTGAGCAAACCTCTCACTAATAAAGTAATGATCTTCTAGTAAATTTTGCATATCATTTTATTAATATTTTGTTTTATTTAAGCATATTATTTTTGTTACAGTCAATTAGCATTAGCATACGATACAAGAGATTTAATATTACTTGCTCGTTTTTGCGTAAAATAATCAATATTTATTTACTTGTATTTACCTTTGAAAGTTTTAAAAGAGAAAGTTTTTTTTTGTGATCTGAAAATTTTCCCAGTTTGGTTAGAAGTTTCAAAGCTAACGCATGTCCACAGGCCCAATAGAAAGATAGGCAGAAAAAGTGTATCATGAAGAATGGTTGCATGCAGGGTTGCTTACTCTCACTTGCTATAGATGAGTGATTTTCGGAGTTTTGAATTCGTTAGATGTTGTAATGGAGATTTGTGATGTTGGATGCGGGAGGATATTGGAGGGCGGGTGTTTGACGCATAGAGCCTGTCAATTTCGATTTCAGAGTGCCGCAGTCGGCGGTTTTATGATTCGTGAGCGCTCGCGATTCGTAGAATCGTTGATTGTGACTGCAAGTGGATTTGGCGGATTTTGTGTGTCGGACGCTTGTTTTTTTGCCTCTTCTTGTGTCTAACATATGCAAAGTATCATTATAGCGTCTAATGGTTTTAAAATTCTTGGTTGCGTGAAATATATTTGTGAGAATATCTTTTTGAGATTTTAGTAGTCACGTTTTGTTTGTAGTTTATATTTTATTTCTTTCATGTAATTATCGTAAATAATAGTTATTCAATAATAGATAGTACATCCATATATTCGTACTTTGACGCGAAGCGCTGTGGATTATGAGATGCTCGATGACCCTGGAGGGATCGATTTTGCTTACTGAGCAGAAAATCATGGATTTAATCCCAAGCTCTTCCACAGCACAATAAATCGCCACCATCATTTGTATATTTGATGTTGAATATTAACCTCGGAAACTATTTGCATATCAAGCGAAAACGTAGCCCTGTATTGTCGCGAAGCGTTATGGTTCTGAGATGCTCGATGACCCTGGAGGGATCGTGTTTGCTTACTGAGCAGAAAATCATGGGTTTAATCCCAAGCTCTCCGTCATGACTCTTAAAATTCATGATCACTAAACAAAATGAATATGTTCTTTCGATAGCCGGCTATCGAGAGATTAAATAAACAACAAATAAACAATACATACTTTTGGTTGCATCGCCAACTTGAGGTGAATCCTAACCGAATACCCTACCCAACCCTCCAACTCCGTAGCACTTATGAGGGCGTCGCTAAGTCGGTGGCCTCTCGTTAAGTAAGTACTACATCAACATTTCCTTCGCTATCCCTAGTTATGGTAAAGATGGGCGTGGCCGGGAATAGCGACAGTCATGCTTCTGTTACTCTTGTTTAGATTGGAACCAATGTTTACTCCCCAGCATTATTCCTGAAAGTAGTCTAACTGAGAATTTTAGAAGAGACGTGAGTGTCGCTAGTATCCAATCTACGAAGTATATCATAACAACGCTAACGCTAACGCTAACGCTCAAATGTTCTTCCAAATAATATCCCATTGATGTTGTGGATATTTCTGAACTATGTGTGGTTTTGGTAAATTTTGGATAAAGTTACTGTAAAAGCTACTCGAAGAAGGATTGTCACAAATTTTCTCTGCGATGTAGGGAAGTTCCAGATAAATTATTCGGAGAAAATGCGCATTTGTCGGTAAATCCTTGATATTTGGCGGATTTTATATTCGGTCGGTGTAAATGTGCAAATATGGTGAGACTTGACGCATCCGTAAGAATCTATTTATAAGCAATGTTTTGCATTTATGTTCTGGTGACATCAAGCCTAAGCCACCAAGTTTTTTTTTGGCAGGCATATCTGGTCAAAGGAAATTCTCAATGTACAGCGGTACCATAAGAAAGCTCCGTATAAAGTTTTGAATTTTGCAATTGTTTTCTTGTCAATTGAAACTGTGGATGCCATATACCAAATGCGTGATGAAGCATATGTATTTAAATAAATTTCTTTTTGTACAAGATTTAAATTTCTGAACTGATTGTTCCACAACGTAAATCTTAAATTTTTCAAAATTTCGTCCCAATTTTTTTCGACCATTTTTTTTGCTAGTATTGTTGAACCAAATCCCAAGACTTTTCAAATTTTCATCCATTTTCTTCCAATTCGGTGTTGTTAAATTATTTCTCGGTCCGGTCGGACATTTTTCAAAAATTTTCTTAATTTTATCCAACTTCTTGACGTTATGGATGATCAAACTTATGTCGTCTGGTAACTATTCAGTAAATCTACATTGATTCCACAAACAGTTTGAATTTTTTGTAATAATGGTTCCAGATATAAACAAAATAATATCATGGATAATGGGTCCCCCTGTCTTACAGATCTTTCTATTTTTATATATTCCGAAAAATTTCCATTTATAAGTATTCTTGAAAATGAATTTTCTTGGCATCTTTGTATGAAATTGACAAAACCGTTGTTTACGCCCATTTTGAGTCAAGTATCCAACAAGAATTTATGGCTCACCCTATCAAAGGCCTTTTCAAGATCAAATGTAATTAACAATGCTTTTTTCTTTTTCAGATTAATTTCTACAATTTTATCTCTTATCCCACACGTCGCTTCAAAAATAGTTTTGGATCCATTTGAACACTTTTGCACGCCTGATAAAAGTACAGAATTAAATTTGATCAAACGATTTTTCAAG